GACCAAAATTGGGCTAGTTACATAATGACGATCTACCGCAGTAAAAATTGTCATTTTTTTTGCACACCACTGTATGTGAAATACAGTATATACATGGCTGGCAACAGGACAATGTTCCTAGTCTTATTATTATAAGGAATTTCTTGATATTAATGTCCTGGAGTTTATGCAATGGCCCTCTAATAGCCAAGACCTAAATCCTTTGATAATTGTTAAAAGGAACGCGAAGTTGCGTAAGCCAAAAAACTTAGCTTATTTTGGGGGGGAGTGGGGAAATATTCCAAATAGCCTTCTAATTAATCTTGTAAACTCAATTGCAACGTTTTAAGGAGGTTATTGAGAAAAATGGTAAACGAATATCATATTATTAATTATTATTATTATTATTATTTTTAATAAATCTATCGGCTTCTTGACTTTAAAATTGTAATTGATACAATGGTTGTGTAACTATCGCAATTTTAAAGATTGCTCATTTTTTACACCCCCTGTATATCAACAAAAATGAACAAACGTTTCGTCTGAATTTTCTTTCCTTTCCGAATGAATAAATTTCAAATGATTAACTATACTTTAGCAATATTTCATGTGACCTTCAGGAACCGTATCCTAGTTATGTACTGTACATCGAAGGGATTTTCATAACAAAAATGCGTGTAGCCTAGATGCAGAACCAATAAAATATTCAAGATCTGCATGCCAGACCTTTATGGCTAGCGGCGCCTGCGACCAAAATCTCGGCGATGCAAAAATATGCAATTAAAAAATTTCTTAAAGGTATGGTAAGTTGATAAAATTTTTTTTAAAGTTTTTGGGAAATACCACACTTTTTGGTAAAATAAATATTAAATCATTTTTCTTATATGATGTGTCATCAAAATGCATTGAAATGCAACGTGGCAGAAAATCTGTCGATCTGTATGTTCTGTGCGATACGTTGTATGAATGATGCCTTTAAAAGGTAAGTAAGACGAGCCATAATGTAACAATATAAAGAAATCAATTCAGCCCCAAGTCATATTCCTCTGAACAATGTCTAATTTCTTCGAAAATCACGAAATCGAGAATCCTAATCAATGGATTGAATGGATAGAGGAAGCCATTAATAAAGGGCATATCAGGTACTATGAATATGAAAATTTTAGTCATATTCGAGAAATCGCAAAAGGAGGTTTTAGTAAGGTATATTGTACGAATTGGAAAAATGCCAATAAATGTTTGGCCTTAAAATCTTTTTATAATTTTGATCATGCCACGGTTAAGGAAATTGTTCATGAGGTAAGTTGAAATGTGTTTTGTTTGGAGTTAATCATGCAAACATTTTGGTTATTGATAAATAAATATATATATATATATATATATATTTTCATCAGATTAAATTACAAAAGATGGTCGACTTTTACGATAATGTTATTCGGTTTTATGGGCTTACATCCGAAAAAGGTACGATAAAATAAATCATGCGTAACCATGTGTCGTGATTTCATTTAAACAAATAATTAATGTCTATCTTACTAGATCAAATGAAAAGATATTTGTTAGTGTTAGAATACGCGGATGGTGGTACGCTCAAGAAACATTTAAAGGAAAATTCTAATGCACTTACCTGGAATGATAAATACGATTTGGCTTATCAGTTGGTTTGTGCGGTTTCAAACTTGCATAGCGAAGGAATCTTACATCATGATTTGGTAAATTAATTTACTCCTCTCACTTTTACGCATCAAATAAACGCATTTGATAATTTATTAATAATCAATCATTTATATATAATAGCACTCTGGTAACGTGTTGGTTCATAAAAATACGATCAAGCTCGCTGATTTCGGATTGTCAAATAGAATCGACGAAGCATCAAAGCAAAAATCGAAATTTTTTGGTGTAATTCCATACATGGATCCAAAAAGACTCAATAAACGAAGAAATAGCAGAAGAAATAGCAATGATTCACAATCATATTCATATAAATTAAATGAAAAGAGTGATGTTTATAGTGTTGGCGTGTTATTATGGGAAATATCGAGTTGCCGACCGCCATTTTACGAAAATGGGGAGCCATATGATGTTTCTTTGGCTCTGGAGATAATACAGGGCACTAGAGAAACGATTGTTCCAGATACACACCCCGGTTATTTTAAACTCTACACAGGTAAATATATGTATATATATAATAAGTTTTATTAAACAACTAAATAATCATATCACATATGTATTTTTAGATTGTTGGGATGGGGAACCAGATAATCGTCCAAAGATGAGTCAAGTAGTCGAAAGATTAGGCGCAATTATTTCTTCAACGGATACAACGGCAGAGATTTACAAATTGGATAATTGTGATATGACGATGCACGAGTCAAATAAAAGTCAATTTGTATCAAGGACCATAGACGATTATTTATCACAAGGTGAATTAGATCGGGTGATTCAAAATATAGATCAGATGGATACAAAAGAGATTATAGAAGCCTTTGATGAACATGAGAGTATTTCGGAAGATGAAGATTTAAATAATGTTATTGATGAAATTGTATCTTTTATCTTTAAGATAACAAATGAAGGGCAGGAATTAAGAATAAGAAATCAACATGTCTTTGATTATATTAACAATAATCAATATATTACTTCGCAAGAAATTTTGAATTGGCTTTTAAGAAATCAGAATGATCAGAATAATTCGAATAATATCTTTTTACTTGGGTACTTTTATTATTTTGGAATTGAAATATGTGAGGATGATAACAAAGCATTTAACCAATTTATAATTGCTTCGAATCAAAATCATAGATTGGCCCATTTTTTTGTAGGGGAATGTTACAGGTATGGGAACGGGACAAAAAAGAATGAACAATTGGCCTTTGAATATTATAAAAAATTGGCAGATCGAAATTGTGCGGCAGCGCAATTACAAATTAGTTATTGTTATGAAAAGGGGATAGGTATTAAGAAAGACGTGAATAGGGCGATTTATTGGTATAAAAAAGCTGCACATAATGGAAACATAGTTGCCATCTACAACCTCGGTAATTGCTATAGGAATGGAATAGGCGTTAACAAGAACTATAAAGAAGCTTTTAAATTATATAAAAAATCAGCAAAAGGGGAATGTGTAAGTGGAATTACGATGGTAGGATATTGTTATTACAGTGGTAAGGGAACGATTGTTGATAAACGAAGCGCTTTTGATTTATTTTATAAAGCTGCAAATTTAGGAGATGGCATAGCTCAATACAACCTTGGAATTATGTATGAAAAAGGTGATGGAATCAAAAAGAATATGGAACTTGCCACTTATTGGTATAAAAGAGGGTATCAAAATGCTCAAAATAGATTGGAGAATGTTTTTCAAAAGGTTTAACTTTTTTTTTATGAAATGTACTATAGCGTGTAAATTATTATATGTTGTAAGTTTATGTAATTTAAATTAATGTATAGATTTATGTTTTTAAGATTTTTCTTTTAATAAAAAAATTTTTTATTTTGAAACGTCAATTAACTAAATGCTTTGTTCGTTTAAATACCATTTCTAAGCAATATACTGACTGTAGCTTTGGCTTGAATTAAGATTAGGTTGTTTTTTATAATTTACCTGTTGGAAAGCATATGTATTACTTAATACCTGCCATTTACATATTAGTATTATAGAAAAATGGAATATTATGAATTAATGGACGTTTTTAAACATAAATTTCAAATCCATCAGTTAAAGGAATCATATGAAAACCCTTTATAAAAACCAAAAATATGTTAATACAGCAAAACTTAAAATATTATTTGGTAAATTAAGCGCAGACAGATGTTACATGTTGTGGAGTTATAACCTTTCATAGATATTTTAGCAGAATTATAATAATTGCGAAACTAACATTTCTTGCTATCTTTGACATAACTTTTATTAATAGAAAGTATAGAAATGATGAGAATCCGAAAGTCAAATTTTTCATTAACGTTAACAATTTTGTTTAATCAAAAGTTAAAGAATAATTTACTAAAAACGCATAAAAATATATATATTACGTAGAAGCTTCAAGGATTTGGTTAGCTGGAACGCGATTTAAATTTAAGTATTAATTACATTGTAGGATTTTTTTTTATTTATATACTTTTATTACAGCTTCAACCCTTCGCTTTTCTTGTTCAGTTAAAAGAGGCGGCCCGGAACAAGGAAGTATATCTGTAAGTCTTAACAATATTTATAACATCCTGACAAATGGTGGAGTGAACATTGATTTCATTCAGTTGTGTCTAAAACAACCCCCGTGTCTCGACAGGGTGTTAAAATCTAAAATTTTGCCAAAAGATTTTTTTAAGGCAAGACCGCGAAGTTTCAACGGGTGGCGAAATTTCGACGGGTGGCAAAGCCCATCAAAACCGTCGAAACTAATGATGATAATATATGAATAATAAAAACAACACCTTGTTCTCGTCATTTATGACCAGCCCTTTCGTCTTAATTAAAATCGTATCGTTTAATAAATTATTGTGGCCGGGTACATGTAATACAATAAATTTTATTAACAATAATTGTTCCCTATTAGAATAGGACTGAAACCTTAATCACAAAATTTATTATAAAGATAAAACTAAAATCCTGAAATATTCAAAATTCTTATTCATGGATAAAATATATAAAATGTTAAAATCAAAATCAAAATTATAAATATAGATTCAACACCATCGCTTAAAATTTTTTTTAGTAAAAAGTTAATAAGTTTCTTTGTGATTATCGTCGTAATCCTTATTGCAGTAGTCGTCGCATTCCTGCTTTTTCTTGTTGTAATCGTAATCGGGTGATCTTCTGTAGTACCTCTTCTTTGCTTTGTAATAGTTGTCGTGATCATTATTACAGTAGTCGTCGCACTCCTCTTTTTTCTTCTTGTAATCGTAATTTACGTCGTAGCCTTTGTCGTCGTTCTCCTCTTTTTTCTTGTCGTAATCGTAATTTACGTCGTCTTTGCCGTGTTCGTAATTACTATCGGGTACATTAGGTAGATCGTAATCGTAGCCATTATTAGCTAACGTTACTGTAACAAAGAAGCAAAGTAAGAGAAAAGTTGAATTTATTTTCATTTTTAACCAGTTTTCCTTTTTTCTTTTTTTTCAGAATAAAAAACATTAAATCTAGAGGTGAAGGAAAGGGTATATATACATTTTGTTAAAACGTAAATAACATGGATTCACTTTTAACTATACCTTGCTTTAAGTAAATAAAAATAAAATTTTTTCACATCGTTAATCTTAATAAGGAGATTTCATATAAGATTGCCTCACAAAAAAAGTTTCCTTTTTTTAGAAAGAATTATAAAATGCGATTTTTAGTTACGTAGATCTTGTGATTTTCTATTGTATAAAGATGAAAATAAATTTGTGCTTACATTGTGTAGTTTACGCCAACGAATGTCATCAAATGTCAGCATTTATTGATCAAAGCTTCTTTGAATTTAAAATGACTTTTGGGTGACGCTTCGATTTAAAATAACGTATTTATTATCTACTTTTAGGAACCAGCTAAATTGGTATGTGGCAAATCTTTTATAGATGTCCCATCGGTCGGTTGAGCAAGGTATGGATATCATCATATTGGAATCAAATTATATTAAGGGAAGGTTTGTTTATACATTATTTACAAATAACTTTTGCCAGATCTCACATATGCTATGATGATGTATTTTTTGTATCAGTCACTTTTTCAAGACTTTTTTCATATTACAGTATTATGTACACTCCCCGGTCAAAAGTATTGGACCACGTGATTTTCGTTATACTAATTGGCGTAATTTTTGCCGATTAT